AACAAGCATATGCATAAGACCACGCAAACACACACACTCATACAGGCACGCACATATACACATATGTGTGTATGTAGATCTTGGATCTAATGTATCCAAGGATGCTAAAATGAACAAAGAATTTGAGTTCAGGAATGGAAACGATAGTTCTGGCCTCAGTAAACTTAGGAATACCCGTGATGTTTCATTAAAGGCAAAAAATAACGTGTACAAAGCAGTTGTACTGACATCACTACTTTATGGTACAGAATCTTGGACTCTCTGCCGACAACACATCAGTCAGGTTAATCCCTTCCAGCTGTGTTGCCTACGTACGAACTGCAACAGAAAACAGTGTAATCGCTTTAGAAACCGTGAAATTATGACTAAATGCATTATGACAGTTACTGAAGCCATCCTAATGAATATCCAACTCAAGTGTGCAGGACATCATTTTCGTATAAGCAATAACATACTTCCAAAAGAACTCCTCTTTAGCAAACTTCTAACAAGCGGGTCAGTTGGAAGGCTACACTTGCGTTTCAAAGACAAACTGACGCGATACAGCATACTCTTTCTTCCTGGGAAAACAAAGAATCAAAGCGAATAAACTGGCGCCTCTCCTGCTTCAGATCTACATAAAGCTTTGAGCCTTGTCGACTTGATCCTAGGGATCATCTACGTTTAATTTTTATGGTCACATGCGTGACCATAAAACTTAAGCACCTCTTTGTTTTCCTGAACCTCATTTCTCGTCCGCGACGTAAGAATTCCCCCATATACGCATATATAAATTCTCTAAATTAGACCATGTCCCTCACACTATCCCCCACCACCCTTATGGTGAGAGATAGTGTCATCTTACATAAACTTATGTCACCATATTTAATACTGCACTTCAAAAGTGTACATTTTAAATTCATTTTTTCACTCTTGAAATTGAAGTTTGAAGATCCATAGAGAAATAAAATCTCTTGCTGAAATAAATTATAACTAATGGAAGTGGTCTGTTTTTTCTTTAAATTAAATTATTCGCTCTAGTTTCACATTGAGCTCTCCGGATTTCATCCTTGAAATTATCCATACGGATTAACAAGATTTTCGTTACTTTATATATATATATATATATATATATATATATATATATATATATATATATATATATATATATATGGGAATAATGCTTTGATACCACAGAATGAATATATAGATTTGAATAAACTATTTTATGCTCATATTTTTTTTTGTTAGGACCAGGCAACCTTTCGGCCAATACTTCTTCATGGACCGATCGTTGGCACAACTGAAGGAATTAGGCTACAAATATGCGGGAAAATTCTTCAAGATAAGGCTAGAACAGTCTAAAAATTTACGATTAAAATAAATACGTAAACTTAAGAGAATAAGTAAATAACCCAACTATAGCATTTCGAGAATGTGCTCGTCGTGTTTCACGATGCACTCATTCTCTATTTTGCATATAGGCAGGTCCAAACACCATTTGTTATTTCTGGAGGTCATTTGATTTAAATTGCTCCAACCATCTCTTTTCAAACAAAAGGAACATTTTCTGCGGTCTCTAAACTTATTTGGAAGTTAATGAGAGTTTCTTTACGTGTTTTATGTGTTGGTTGGTTCAGGGAAGTCTATCATTTAGAGAAGCAGCATGCTGTTAACTTTCTTTAATATTTGCAAGCAGTTGATGCCGATGTTCAAGACGGCTACGCTCAAAGCTTTATGTAGATCTGAAGCAGGACAAGCGCCAGTTTATTGGCTCTGATGCTTTGTTTTCCAAGGAAGAAAAAGGGGTGTTTCATCGCGTCAGATTGTCTTTGGGTTTGTTTTTGAAACACCAGAGTGGAATCCCAACTGATCTGCTTATTAGAAGTTAGCCAAAGAGGAGTTGTTTTGGAATTATGAACACACACACACACACACACACACGTACGTGTGTTTGTGTATTCTGACGTTTGAATTGAAGACCTTCCAAAAGATTTAATCATTTTTTGCTGTTGCATTGGCAGGGTACTGCAGTACCGCCGACATTAATTTGCCTAATTAGAATGGGCGCCATGGATTTCCTGTAAATGTTTAAATGTCACTTTTCCTGGAGAGGTGACAACATTTTTGTCGAGAGTAAATTTGTACTCTGACCGATATAGGATGATTTATTTTTAATTATCAATAGAGACAGAGTTTCCAAATATACAACAAAATTGTTTTACAACAGTATATTGAAAAATGTAATTTTTCTATGGTTGAGAAGTGTTTTTAGTAACAACGTGGTTAAGAGATTTGATATTTTTTATCACTGAGATTTAAGTTCCTTCCAGACATCAGGGAACCTCATAGAAATGATCCATCTTTAAAGATGCTGAACAAATGTTCGATTCCGGTTTAGAAATTACCTAACTGATCCTGCCTTGACCTACACTTATAAGAGTTAGCTCTGACCAAAACTAGAGTATTACTGTCATATTTGAGCCAGAGATATTTAACCAGTCTTTCTGGATTTAACAGAGTTCAATAGTGTCTATATGTCTTCATAGGTAATTTTCACATAGAAGAAACTTCGCATATTAGATTGTAAGTATTTCTGGAGATAATTATGGTTTTCACTGATACAATTTCGAATAATTAACCTCATACCTGGGTTAGAAGAGGTGGATTCATTCCATTCAGATGGTTATTTGTGCGTAAGTGAATATAACAAATCCGGATGTTTCTATTATGCAGAACTGTTGTTAGTAACAACAAAGTTAACAGATTTGATTTTTTTTATCACTGAGACTCAAGTTCCTTCCAGACATCAGGAAGCCTCATATATACGAGTCATCATTAAAGATGCTGGAAAAATGGTCGCTTCCTTGTACTGCTCCAGAAAGTACCTTCAAAGGGTTGATAAACCGTAAAATCACGTCAAACAATCATATGAGTGGAATACCAATGGAATGGGGCTGTGTCAACCCTGTGTATCTGGCATGGTAGGTCCCCGCTGTGAACGTCTTGAGTTCCACTGATATGATTGATTGGCATGTTTTTACGGCTTACCAGCCCTTTGAAGGTTGTACTGCTCCAGAGAGTACGTGACTGTTTCTGCTAAAAAAAATGTACCCGATTTTTTTAGCTTTCCGAGAGCCAGATGTATTCCTGCCCAATCATCCCGTTCTAGTCTTAATAGGTTTCAATAGATGAATTATTTTCCACACTACAATCACTTTCCCCACAGACTAAACGTCACAAGCCTATCATTACTCTATCATTCTGACGGTAGACATCTTCTGGAAATATTTCCAGTTCATTCATAATTCTAGTGTTTATTCCCACAACAATTGTGCCAAATTGCCTGCCTGTCTACCCTCCCTTGTGCCTTGCCTTATAAAAAGACAAGAAAAAGGTTACGTAATCGTGTCTACAGAGTCAATAACACATTCAGCTTTCTTGTGGTTAAATACTATGAGTCTGTTAATTTCTCATGGGATTTCCTCAAAAAACTAGTAACCAATTAGCAGACCCTGGACTTTCCCTTATTATAATGGATGGGTGCTCTCTCAAGGGGCCTCCTTGCTTTGAACGTCTGTTGAGAGTCAAGATCAGCACAGACCTCAAGTAGAACTCATGGTAACTTCCTTGTACTTCTCCAAAAAGTACTTGACTCTTTCTGCTATGAAAAATGTACCTGATTTCTTTAGCTTTCCAAGAGCCAGATCAGACCAAAAAACTGCTGCCTGATCTTCACTCGACAGCCTTGATAATTCAAAAGCCTCTATTCGGCCTTGTGGCTGATGAATTATTTCCCACTCTACAACCCGCTTCCCACAGCCGAATCGTTGCAAGACTATCACCACAGAAAATGTTCTATGGCAAATATTCTAGCGGTCTAGATTCATTAGTTCAGACATTGAAGACATTAACAACGGGGTCCAACCATGCCAGATACACATGGTTGACTCATTCCATTCATATTCCACTGATATGATTGGTTGACATATTTTATGGCTTATCAACCCTTTGAAGGTTATTTAAAGCCCCCCAAAATATTGTAAGTATTTAGGGAGATAATTATGATTTTTACTGGTACATATTCCAATAATTAACCCTATACATGGAGGAAAAGAGGTGGATTAATCTTTCTTGTGGCTGAATACTATGTGTCTGTTAATTTCTCGTGATATTTCTGCAAAAACCTGTAACGTTCTACCATCCATGAGCAGACCCTGAACTTTCCTTTATTATAATGAATTCGTGTTCTCTCAAGGGGGTTCCTTCTTTTGAACGTCTGTTGGGACTCAATCTCACCCCAGACCTCATGTAGAACTCATATATACGAGTCATCGTTAAAGATGTTGGAAAAATGGTCAGTTCCTTGCACTTCTTCAGACTGTTTCTGCTATGAAAAATGTACCTGATTTCTTTCGCTCTCCGATCAATTGCTGCCCAATCACCCCGTTCTAGTCTTGATAGATTTCAATAGATGAATTATTTTCCATCATACAATCACTTTCCCCACATACTAAAAGTTACAAGCCTATCATTACTCTATCACTCTGACGGCAGACATCTGGAAATATTTTCAGTTCATTCATATTTCTACTGTTTATTCCCACAACAATTGTGCCTAATTGCCTGCCTCTCTACCTTCTCCCAGCCTTGCCTTTTAAAAAGACAATGTATATTGTAAGTATTTTTGGAGATAATTAGGATTTTAACTCATGCACATTCTAATAATTAACCCTATACCTGGGTTAGAAAAGGTGGATTCATACCTTTCCAATGGTTATTTGCGCTTACGTGAATATGAAGAACCAGAAAGGTATTGGAATTCATTTCTCCGATTTCCAATTCCGAGCCGTTATCCATGACACTTGCCGGGCATCCAAGCTTACAGCAACTGAAATTTCCAAACGGTCACTCATATAGTTATTGATCAAGCTCGAAGGTGCTTAACTTTGGTGATCGTACAAAAAGCGGTGATGTAACGTGTTAAGCCATAAGATCTTTACAGCACTCGCACATTCAAGCTTACAGCATCTGGTATTCTCAAGTGGTCGCCAATCTAGGTACTGACCAGGTTCGACGTTGCTTAACTTCGGTGATCGTACGGGAACCGGTGTTTTCACATGATATGGTCGTAAGAAGGAAGTTCCATTCGGACCGCTTCTTCACAAGAAGCAGTACATTGTGGAACAGACTCCCGTAGAATTCTTCCCCGATCACTACAATCTTAACCTCTTGAAGTCTAAGGACAACTGTTATCTTTCCTCCATATCCTCATCATGTAGACTATTTAACTTTTATGCAAGAACCTCTTTCAGTAACTGTCTACATTGAGTGGTTCTTGAGCCTTTTATTCAGTATGCGATAGGATACAAAATATGAAGGATTTTGAGTTATTTTTTGCATGTGGTATATATTCTTATTGTTTTCACGATTTTTATATACAGACACGCTGTTCTGGAGACAGAACTGAATTATGCCAACTTACCAATATATATCAGATTAATTTAAGTAAAATCGGCGACAATAAAATCTAATTTAAGGACGTCTCCTATTCTGCTATCGCCTTTAGGAAAAATAAAGAAATTGTGGACTCTAGCTTTTAATGTGTTAAATATCATCCCATCCTGCCTACTCCTCTCTGTCCGAGGAATTCCAGTCACTATACCAATCGCCATTATGTAAAATCCTTTTAGTATCAGTATAATAAATCAATCCCGTGTAATGTTGCAATGTTGATAGTTTTTTTTTCTTTTTGTGCTTAATCCTAGTTTCTATTTATCATTACTTTATTAAGTAAATGTAGCAAAGAAACGGGTCAGCCTAGTAAGCACCAGGAGTTGTGTCCCCTTCCAAAATGGGCTGTTGAGAGAAGACGTTCTTGATAGTAGGTGGCGCTGCCTATTTGCATGTGAACGATATTGACCTGGTATTAGCCAGTGGTCAGCGTGGGTCTGGGATTGGGAGAGCTATATAACACCAGTGTTTTTCTCGGTCGAGAGAAGCGCTCTCAACATAGAGAGGCTCGGCTCGGCTCGGCTCGGCTCGGCTCGGCTCGGCTCGGCTCGGCTCGGCTCTCTTGCTTGCTTGCTTGCTTGCCTGCCTGCCTGCCTGCCTGCTTGCTTGCCTCCATCCCTCTGGGTGGAGAGGAACCCTGACGCGGCTATACCGAAGAGCAGAGTCTCGTTTGACGGGGTAGACAGCTACCCGATCCCCATGTATACGGAGTCTATGGGCAATTTCTTTTCTGGAACTCACGGGCTCAGACCTTTCCCCCCACATAAAAATTGGCCTTGTGCCGCATCCTACCTTGTGGGGAGGTGGGTAAATATCGAAGCGCTCTCACCATGCGGATGTGCAAAATCAAGACAAACACAGTAAAATTTGCATTGCATTTCATTTTGAACATTAAAATAAGATGGCGATTGCATATATTAGGTTTGTGCAAAATAATGACGTAATAATGTCGTTTTTTGACGTTTTTTAAACGTCACAGAATGTTCAACTGTTTCTTTTTTTATTCTCAGTATAAGTTTCTTTTTATTCCCATTTTCACGAAAATTTCATCTTAACACCAAGAAACTAATTAGAGAAATGGAAAGGATCGGTAGAGAAATAAATAGACATAATAGGTCTATATTATTCAATGACACACACACAGGTATACATACACATACACAGAAATATATATATATATATATATATATATATATATATATATATAAAAGTGAACATAGAAGTCATATGTGGCCTGACGATTGCATATAGCATGAAACAGACTGTCGCCTCTAAGTGTTGACTTCTATGTTCACTTTTATATTTACACGTTCTATCTCTGATATTGAGCACTTTATTCCATAAATATAGCATACCTTAAGACTATATTTTTTCATATATATATATATATATATATATATATGAAGATATTACATCGAAAATATGTCAAAATCGCTACACAGTTGTAGTCGTGTTTCAAATTAACCTCATCAGACGATTGTAAATTACTGGCTAGTGAACTAATTATTTAGACTTAAAAGCAAAATAGAACCTCGTTTACAAAAAAAAAAAAAGAGAAAAAGATGGTGTTATTAGTTTTGTGGACTTTACTAAGATCAACCAATCAAATCTGACCAACATTAAATTTAAACAAAATCGAAGAAGCAAAAATTAAGAAATTATTTTCCATAAATGCGTCATGACCCATAGATTGGCAGTTAATGACAGCACAAACGTTAACAGGAAAGGATTCTAATGGATACATATTTTACACACTAGACAATGTCCTTTCCTAGAAAAATTGAAATGTTGTATTAGTTTAACAAAATGTTAAACAAGTTATATGTTTTGTGAGTTTCTAACATAAAATCTTTTTTTATAATTCATAAATAAATAGCTTCTTTAAGAAAATAGTAAATAATTTAAACGTATAGAATTACTTGGTAAATTATTAAGGAACTGTTGACTAAAGATTCTTTATAGAAGATATTAATAACAATATTCATCAATGTAAAATGTCAAAAGTACCTACCAAATACCAATATATCCGTACAAGATGTTACTAAAACAAACAGGTGATTAATACAAAATTATTCTAAATCCAAATTATTCTTACAAAGATAAATCATATATGGTGATATATATATATATATATATATATATATATATATATATATATATATATATATATATATATATATGTATGTATATATATATATATATATATATATATATATAACAATAGGAACACTTTAGTAGTTTGCTGACGCGTTTCGTCCAATGTCCACAAGAACTACAGTTTTCCTATTGTCATTTATATTTAAAAATATTGTCTTTTCTACAGGTTAACTCTGAGAAATTTTCATATATATATATATATATATATATATATATATGAAATATATATATATGTATATGTTGTTTATATATATATATATATAATATATATATATATATATATATGTATATATTGCATATATATATGTATATATTTCATATATATATATATATATATATTTATATTATGATTATGCTATTAAAATATTAAAACGTCTATAAAATCTAAACGTGTTGCAGGATTCTGTTTCTGGTACCTTCTAAAACCTCCTTATTCTTCTTTTTTTACTCACATTAGCCCTTTGCATCATAGTGACATTATCGCCTTGTTTAGTATGAATTGCTGAATATATATATATATATATATATATATATATATATATAATATATATATATATATATATGTTCCTCATCGGTTTTGATACTGAAGCTTCTAATATATATATATATATATATATATATATATATATATATATATATATATATACAGAGAGAGAGAGACATACAGAAAGACAGACAGAGATAGATAGATAGATAGATAGATAGATAGATAGATAGATAATGATACAATATGGTAATCCCTTCGAAATTCCAGGAGGATATAGGCCAGGGTGGGCTCTATATAAAAGAAACAGAGCAAAATTATTATTAATTAAAGTATATGAAACACTTAAGATCTCATAAGTAATAATTTTTATTTCATGAGTGCTCTAAAAAAAAAGCAAATCTGAGACACTACGAGCTGCTGTCTGTTAGAGCTCTCTTGAAATAAAAATCATTACCAGAGCTCTATTACAACCCATTTAGACACACAGACAAAACTACCAGACATTTGGACAGTTTCTACATGCTCTGTATCCAAAAACAAAAACACTTGTTCGAACAGAAGAAAAATTATATAAACAGCTTAACCGTAGTACCCGGTCTGTCGTTTTAATGAAACATGCATAAAAGAATATCAACCTTTTTAAAATACCTTTGACCAACATGGAATGCTGTTTAGCATATTTACCCTTTCTGCTTAGCTCCCTCATATTCTGTACGGTTGTTTGCAAAACACCATAGTTATAACAGATAAAATAAAAGAAAAATAGAACGCGTTTTTTTCAAAAATCAATATCACAACAATAGCAGTTGCAATAAATTCGTCTTCGCGATTCACCGCATCGTATGATCTCGAAGGAGATCGAAAGTACTTTGGTATGAAAAAACTATGGCGCCTTCCTTGATGAGTTTCAACTTAACATGAAGAATTAGAGAAATAGAAAGGCTTATTATGTGTTATACCAGAACATTACCTATTCTATTGTAATAGACTCTCCCACAGATAATAAGTAGTAGTAGCAGTGGCCAGTTGAGCTCAGTGGTGTTGAGTGAGTCAGTTGATGTCGGACATTAAAGTATCAACCATCACAACTAGATTGCTGCGTCATTAAATCTTATTTCAAGTTCCTAACGTTTTGTACGTCGGACCCTTTTAGGAACGACTTATTGAAATACAAGCCTCCACTGTGAAAACTACACTACAACATTAATAAATAAACATATGTCTTTATTAATCAATAAGACATGTTTAATGGAAATACGATGCCTAAATACATATATATATATGTGTGTGTGTGTGTGTTTATAAAAACGATTTTTTTCATTTTAGTACCTTCCATAACTAATACTGCTATTTTATAGTCGTAATTATTATTAACAGAATTGCTATACTAACATATTACAGTTCTTATTTTATCTTGATTCTTCTTATTATTCTGTTTATTATTATTATTATTATTATTATTATTATTGGGATTGTATAGCTGTTGCCTACATCATTTACATTTTTATTTTTCTTTAATAATTATATGTTTATGTTTTACTATTATTAATAGTATTATCTTTTATCATTTTTATATTCTAAATTCGTTCTTTATAATTATTTAAATTTCTTAGTTTTATTTAATTGATTTATTTATTTTATTATATTATTTTATTTTTATTTAATTTTATTATTTTATTTATGCTGAAAAATATTATTATTATTATTATTATTATTATTATTTTATTTGATTTCTGGCCTTTACACATTTCTTTCCGGGTCCCGCCCAGGGACCTAAGGTTAGAAATGGCATCATCACACTTTCCACTGACAAAAAATAAAAATAAAATATAAAAAATTACATAGATAAAGCCCTTCGTAAAGTGTGGGCTGTACTTGTCAGAACAATTTTTTGTATCTCCTTGAGGCATGGACTTCCAAGAATCCCTTCAATTAGTCTACTGCAATCTTTTCCAAACAGTCCTAGAGCTCCAACTA